GGTGTGCAGTGGAGTAGACCTATTTACTTTTCATGTATTCTGAATGTTACGCGTCCTATTTGTAGGTGCTTCAAAAATGAGTGTAAACACGAATGCAATGGAGTCGAGCTCTTAACACGCAATGTCCTGTCTTCTGTCTGGCCCTTCAGTCAAATTTTAGGACATTATGTGGCCCGCGAGCCAAAAAGTTTGCCCACCTCTGCACTAGACGTTCTCAAAAACCCCAGAAGTGTGAGTTCAGGCACTAGCCAATCAGCAAAGAGCCATATATTCTGTGTTGGCAATGATTCCCGAGACCGAGGATTTAAAGCTGGAACAAAGACGTTATTGCCCTTCTTCCTGTGGGATTTGGGAAAAGCTTAATATACCAGTTAGCCCTGTTAGTGGTGCATTACTTATGATCACGACCAAATGGCAGAGATTGGTTAGATGAAAAAAAGTACCCACCTACTGTCGAGCGAACGAATTCTAACACTGTGAGGTCAGACTGTTTCCACAAAGTGAAACCGGCTATGAGGCCCCAGGTTAGTTTTGTGGAGCAGCAAACGCACTCAGACTAAATAGTTTGTTTAACTGTTTTTTAGTGCAAACATCCAAAATGTTTTTATTTTATGACAATTTTTGGCTTAAAAAGTTCCATATTGCAGCTTTAACATTGAGACTAAGGAAAATTATTGATACTCCAGACCACAGTGTTTTCTGTTCAAGAGACGAAGGCAAGGCAAGGCAAGTTTATTTGTATAGCACAATTCGTACACAAAGTAATTCAAAGTGCTTTACAGAATAAGAAAATACATTAAAATCATAATAAAAACAAATCAAAACATAAATAATCATGAAGATTAAAATTTTAAAAAAGAGAGAGACATAAATTGGAGAGAAGAGTGCGGAATGAAAACCTTTCAGTTATATGCACAGTTAAACAGAAATGTTTTGAGTCTGGATTTAAACAGCGTCACAGAAGAGTCTGTCTCACATGTTCAGGAAGACTGTTCCAGGTTTTAGCTGCATGAACCTGAAACGCTGACTCCCCTTGTTTAGTTCTGACTCTGGGCACCAGCAGGAGGCCGGTCCCTGAGGTCCTCAGAGTGCGAGATGGTTCATATGACACTAACATGTCACAGATGTACTTTGGTGCTCGGCCATGGAGAGACTTGTACACAAGCAGAGCTGCTTTAAAGTCTATTCTCTGAGGCACAGGAAGCCAGTGCAGAGACCTGAGCACAGGACTTATGTGCTCATACTTCCTAGTTCGAGTAAGGACCCGAGCTGCAGCATTCTGGATGTTCTGCAGCGTCTCACAGCTCGTTTGGAGAGACCAGTGAGCAGACCATTTACAGTAGTCTAACTACTGGAGACAAACGCATGGATAAGTTTCTCCAAGTCTGCTTTAGACAGTAAACCTTTGATTTTCGCTATGTTTTTTAGATGGTAAAAGGCTGCAGATGTTATTGACTTGATGTGGCTGTTAAAGTTCAAGTCTGAGTCCATTATTACCCCTAGATTTCTTGCCTGATTTGAAGGTTTTAGAGAGAGAGACTGGAGGTGACTGCTGACACTGTCCCTTTGTTTCTGTGGACCAAACACTATGACTTCAGTCTTGTCAGAGTTTAGCTGGAGAAAGTTGTTTTGCATCCACACACTGATCTGTTGGAGGCAGTGACAAAGTGAGTCCACTGGTCCATAGTCTCCTGCTGCCAGAGAGACGTAGATCTGAGTGTCGTCTGCATAATTGTGGTAGGACACGTTATTGCTGCTTATTAACTGGCCTAATGGCAGCATGTAGAGATTGAACAACAGGGGGCCCAGGATTGACCCCTGAGGCACCCCACAGGTCAGGGCCATGTGATCTGAGACACAGTTTCCAATTTCAACAAAATACTTCCTGTCTTCTAGATAGGACTTGAACCAGTTTAGTACAGTACCAGAGATGCCCACCCAGTCCTCTAGTCTCTGTAAGAGGATCCCATGATCGACAGTGTCAAAAGCAGCACTCAGATCTAACAGGATCAAGACTGAGACTTTGCCTGCATCAGTGTTCAGGCGGATGTCATTTGTCACCTTGATAAGAGCAGTCTCAGTGCTGTGGTGGGCTCTAAAACCTGACTGGAAAACATCAAAGGAGTTGTTCATTTGGAGAAAGTTCGTAAGCTGTTGGTAAACAGCTTTTTCAAGGACTTTGCCAAAAAACGGCAGATTTGAGATGGGTCGGAAATTGTTCAGTACTGTGGCATCAAGACTGCTCTTCTTTAGGAGCGGCTTAATGACTACAGTTTTCAATGCGTTTGGGAATGTTCCAGATTGAAGTGACATGTTAACTATGTGAGTGAGTGGTGAAAGTAAACGAGCCACAATTTGCAGGGTTTGTGTGTTTAACATGTATGAATTAAATAAAACACAACTCCAGGTATGTTTGTGATGAGGAAAAAACATTATAACACAGATCAGAAAATAGCGTAAGAACTTGAAGAACTACTGTGTCTTTTGTAGTGTACCCAACCTCCTTTCTTTCTTGTAATGCGCAGGTCTGTCATTGTAACAAAAGTGTGTTATGTTGCTAAAGAATCAAAAAAAGCTATTATATCACCGTAACACTAAAGCAGAACAAAATTTGAATATTACATATATAGTTATTTTGAAAAGCCTGAAAATAAGCAGATCAAGCAGATAAGCAGCAGTATCTCTCATAAAAGTGTATAAAGTCTTATAAAGAACTTTTGTTGTTCATTTTCGAGTACATTCACTTTTTGTTTGAGACTTCAACCTTAACTACCACTAGCTGCTTTCATATCCACATGTTTTCGCACATTTCTGGTGAATTGTTAAAACATTCCTTGAAATTGCAGCCTAAATATTCTAAAAAACTAAAATAAAACATGACGATATTGCCTTTTCTTATTTCTCTCTAATATGAATAATAATAATAATAGTTTGGTAGTTGGTTTAGTTGTACTGTAATCCCAAAAGTTTGTAAAATTAAAAGATCTTTATTCAAAACCTTTGGTCTCATAATTCGTCCACATTTTTACCTGTTTTGATAAATAATGTGCTCTGTACTCCACTATTACTGCTATTCCAAAAATATTCCCTTTTTCATGAATGGGACAAGACACAGGTTGAGTTGTGGCTAAAAGCATTCTCATTGTGTCCAGGTTGAATGACTGTAATGGTTTCATATAATGGCGTAATAGCTTTTAACGCTGCATAAAAAGTGCGCTGCTAAAGGGAACGCCGTCTTTTCAAAATGCGCAATTCGGCCAAAAATACACTCTGTTCTTTCTCTGTGTTCTTTCTAAAATACAGGTAAATCTTGTACTTAAATGTAACAAGGGAAATTCAAGAAAAATGTCAGCCACTTGTCAAGCTTTCACTCTCAGTTTTCAAAGGAGTATCTATGAAATTCTGCTTTTGGCTTTTTGTACTTCTTATATTTTTTGCCAGTGTTCAAAATAAGATGTTTTTTTCCCCCTTATTTATCCAAGTTTAGAAGCTTGGAGTGTACAAAGTGCTAATTTTGTATCCTTTTTTTGTATCGATATATGGTGCGAGACTGTTAATGCACACTAGAGTGGAGCTCATTCTTCTGCAAATAATAAATAACGAAGTACACGTCTTATTTGGAATATTTTAATGTGAATGTTGTACTGGTTTTAAATGCACTTTAAAGATGGACTCTGTAACTTTTTGGTTGGGTTGGTCCGTCACCTGCTTGTGTCTAGGGTATGTCATTGCTCTGCCTGGAATGTTCCACAGTATGACTTTAAATAGTTCTATCTTATGTTTACTAAATTGCAGGTGCTCAAAAATACCTAGAAAAACAGGCATTCTGACTGTAAGCAGGGTCGCCTCTCCACAGATCTGACCTGTAACTTTGTCTGGTTTGCATCAATGCATCTTTAAGACAATATACAGTCTTTTGTTATGTTTTGGAGATCTTAATTTAGCCTTGATTCAATTTTGTGGTGCATTCACACTCTTTGCTGGCTCCTGGTTTGAGCTCAGTTTAGTCCAGACATAGACTTGTTTTGATCCAGTCCCAATCCAGGTCTAGTCCTGTTTTAGCCCAGGTTTAATCCTGGTCTTGTCTTGGTTTGCTCCTGGTTTAGTACTGGTCTTGTCCTGATCTTGTCCTGGTCTTGTTCTGGTTTAGTCCTGGTCTAGTCCTGGTCTTGTCTTGGTTTACTCCTGGTTTATTCCTGATTGTGTCCTGGTCTTGTCTTTTTTTTTTTTTTTTTTTACTCCTGGTTTAGTGCTGGTCTAGTCCTGATCTTGTCCTGGTCTTGTCCTTAGTTTGACCTGGCCTTGTCCTGGTTTAGTCCTGGTTTAGTACTGGTCAAGTCCTGATCTTGTCCTGGTCTAGTCTTGGATTAGTCCTGGTCTAATCCTAGTCTCATCCTGATTTAGTCCTGGTCTTGTCCTGGTTTAGTACTGGTCTAGTCCTGATCTTGTCTTGGTTTAGTCTTGAGTTAGTCCTGGTCTAGTCCTGGTCTAGTCCTGATCTTGTCTTGGTCTAGTCTTGAGTTAGTCCTGGTCTAGTCCTGGTCTAGTCCTGATCTTGTCCTGGTCTTGTCTTGGTTTACTCGTGGTTTAGTTCTGGTCTAGTCCTGATGTTGTCCTGGTCTAGTCTTGGGTTAGTCGTGGTCTAGTCCTGGTTTACTTCTGGTTTATTACTCATCTAGTCCTGATTTTGTCCTGGTCTTGTCTTGGTTTACTCCTGGTTTAGTCATGGTCTAATCCTGGTCTAGTCCTGACCTTGTCCTGGTCTTGTCTTGGGTTGGTCCTGGTCTAATCCTGGTCTAGTCCTGGTCTAACCCTGATCTAGTCTTGATTTAATCCTGGTTTAGTTCTGGTTTAGTCCTGATCTCTATGGCACATATGACAGTTATCACGTCGTCAAGGCAACCAAAATCAACATCTCACTGCACAGACACACAGAGCACGTCCTGTACTTGAGTCTATAGTTATACTTATATATATACTTTGGTTTTTTTTTTCTCCAGGAGAGGACGATCGCTTGGCCCTGAAGAGTAAACTGACAGTGACGGACCTGTTCAAGAAGGACTTCAAAGTTCATGATCCCAACGCCAAGTGGATCAGCGGTGAGAGTCTCTTGTTCTTATATTCACTCATGTATTTTTGTCACAGTGTTTGTGTTTGGCATAATAATATAGGCTACTGTATTTCTTGTGATGAGCAGATGGTATCAAAAAGTGTTGTTTCTCACACAAAAATTGCAGTTTTTAATCAATTTTTTATCTATTTATAATATATATTGTTTATATTTTAGAATTTGCATCTATAGTCTTGTCATCCTGGTTAACGCCAATGGTCAAATTCATTCCTTCATTCAAATTGTTTATATTTTAGTTTATCTACAATCTTATCTTTATTTATTCTTATTCATTATTTAATTGTTTATTTTATTTTAATTATTTGTTTAATTACAAAGCATCCCTACAAATTTAATCATTATTATGTGTCATTGTTGCTGCTCTAACATGAATTTCCTTTGGAATAAATTAAATATTTATCTATCTATAAGTTCGAGCTGGGGTCAAGCTAAAATAATGATATCTTCTGTGCTTCAAGGTAAAATTCTTTGTAGTAGAAGAGTTTCATGGTTTGATATTGTGGAACTTCATACAGTATCATTTAGTATAAGACTGAAAAAAACAGATATTGTCCATTATAGATACAAAATGTTCTAATTTGATACTGAAAAGGCTTGATACTTGTACATACTGATTCCGATACCAACAGGATCATAAAATACACCATTTGTATGCAACATAATCGCATTTTCAACACAATAATAGTAGTTCTGAACACATTCTTATGGTCTTATACTAGTTCAAGAAAAGTCCAGTTTGTCTGAACCATGAATTTTCCAAATACCAATTCTGATTGTCTAGTTTCAATGCTTATTTTTGTGATGTAACTGTTCGTGCACAAAAAGGATCCTGTAAAAGAAATGTCCAACCCCATTTCCAAAGTTTCATTTCTGCTTTTATATTGTGAGTCACTGAGTATCAACCTGTGGCATAAAAGATTGTGTTTTTCTTTCAAGATTATTTGAATGTATTTATTGAAGATAAGAAAGAATATCCTTCACATTCCCCTTTACCGTGGCATTTTAATGTGTAACTTATGCGTTGGTATAAGGTCCTTACTGTATATGTATTATGTATTTGTATAATATGTATACATTTCATCTTAATGTGCTGCTATAGTGAAGTGTATGCTAATGCTGTTGTTGCCGGGCAGATCATAAAAAAGCTTTTGTTTTGTTTTTGTTTTTTTATTCCAGCCATTACTCCATTATAGATTATTCTCTGACATCTGATACCAGTGTACGTCATGCTTTCTACCCACTCTCTAGCAGTACACCACAGTGAATCAAGGGGTCAACGTGCCAACTACTGAATTATTATTAAAAATGTAAAGGTTTGATCTATGTTGTAATTTTGTTTTCTTATCAAAAACATACCCAGAAATGTGTTTGAGCTTTGGAGAAATAGACAGACTAATTATAAAAGGTTACTCAAACGTGTGAATGAAACAAAACACAACTCCAGGTATGTTTTTGATGAGATAATAACATCGTAACATGGCTTAAGGCTCACGAGAGTCAAGTCTGCTTAATATAGGACTCTAACCAAAGATAATTTGTAGATTATTGTGCTGTATGAAAACTTTATCTGGTTGGTAATGGAGCACAACAGCAGCCACCTGCACTGGTTCAGGAAGTACATTTTCCATTCATTTTTCCCATAGGCTTTTCGAAAAAAATTCTAATATTAAGGTTCAGACAAATTACACACTTGCTTTAAGTCCAAAAAGCGCATTTAAACTCAAGATTCTGCATACTTTAATAACTTAGCGGCTTCTAACATTTCATAAACATATTTTAAATAATATTATAGGTCTTGTTCTCATTGGTTACCACTGAGTAAGCTTTCAAACTTTTAATATAATTTTTTTGGAAAGCCTATAAGAAAAATGAATGAAAAATTTTGCTACAGAACCAGGGAGGCGGCAGCACTGTTGAGCTAGATATAGTATTCTAGGCAAACATCGTCTTAATTTGTTTGGTGTTTTTGCTTTTCCTAAACTTATATACATGGGAGGGCAAACAACAATACGCCAAGCAATCATACTCAGGTGGCAGTCTTTTTTTGTTAACCATAAAGTAGAGTTGGGGAGTCGAGTCAGACTTGAGGCACTATTTTTAGGACTTCAGACTTGAGTTGATAAAATGGACTAAGACTTGGGACTCAACTTGGACTTGAAGGTCAATGACTTGGGACTTGACTCGAGGACTTGACAGATTTGAGCCCTCTGACTTGAGAAGACTTGATGCTTCTACTAAAAGAATATATGTTTTTAGAAAATACTTTTCTCTTTACAGTTGATAAATGCAGTGCTGAATTTTACAGGAACAAACGGGAACATGTTGCTCCCACTTCTGTTTGTTACTTTGGTTGTAACTGAAGTACTGTGACATGGTGTCCTCAAATGTACTACAGAAATATACAGTACCATACAGTAAAACAGAGGGAACTACTTAGAACATGATCCTTCAATTTCAGTGCAGACTACATGACAAAATAACATCATTTTTAAATCTTAATTCTTTCTGTTCTGACTGTAATGATTCACACAAAAATTTTGTCCAGAAATTTTAAAAGGAAAAAATTGCATTTCTACCGCTCTGTATAAATACTCATATATAAATATACATGACTTTTTAAGTGCAATTTAGTTTAAAATTCAAATAAACTGCAAAAATTTCAGCAATATTTGGTACTGTGGTTTAAAACAGAGTAGAGCTGCTGCTCCTCCACGTCGAGAGGAGCCAGTTGAGGTGGTTCGAGCATCTGTTCCAGATGCCTCCTGGGCGCCTCCCTCGGAAGGTGTTCTGGGCATGTCCCACCGGGAGGAGGCCCCAGGGAAGACCCAGGACACGCTGGAGGGACTATGTCTCTCGGCTGGACTGGGAACGCCTCGGGGTCCCCCCGGAGAAGCTGGAGGACGTGTCTGGGGTGAAGGAAGTCTGGGAGTCCCTGCTTAGACTGCTGCCCCGTGACCCGGCCCCGGATAAGCAGAAGAAAATTGATGGATGGGTTTAAAAACTTGAAATGACTTGAAGCTCAAAGCAGACGACTTGGCCAGTGACTCGAGACTCTACTTGGACTTGCCTGTATTTGACTTGGGACTTGATTTGGACTTGAGACTTACTTTGAGAGACTTGAAAAACGACGACTTGGTCCCACCTCTGCCATGAAGCCAACTGACCATGCAGGAAATAATAAAACTAAAATCGATTTAGCATCATAACATTTGTTGCTCTTGCTTCGTCACATTCACATCTGTAGATAATGTCCCTGTTGTTTATGGCTCCAATAGCTACCGAATCTCCAGACTCTCCACGCACTATAATCTCTGTTTAATCAATGACGATGTGTTCAATGTTCTACTGCCTCTTATGCCTCACTAAAGAAACATTTGCTTTGTACAATGAGCAGTGAGCGCACCACAGGGAGCCAATCAAAGTCACTCTATAGTTGTAAACATGCGTAAGTCTGATGTGTTTGTTTGTGAAATGGTATTGATGGTTCTTTGTAGACGGGAACAGAACCAAACCAGGTCTACATCAGGACTAAACTGGGTCAAAGCCGGACCAAACCGAATGTGAACGCACCCTAACTTTTACTGACAATTCAGTCATGGATAGTGAGTTGAAATCACATTGTTACCATCTTTTGTACATAATGAGATCCAGATACACAGGATAGATTTTCTCCAAATAACTTTATTTTTACTGAAATTATTGCAGCCTTTTGAATGCCATTATTTTCTTTGGATTGCAATTTTCCCTTCAGACAAATATGACTAATTTCTATCACAGAATCACAACAAACCTATACTTGTGTTAGTTTGTTTCTTATTTTAAGTGCAAAGAGTTGTTTTTCTTGCTTTTCTGAAGTGTAGCGAGATGTTTTTTCATATTTTAACTCCAAAAAGTCTTGTTCCATTGGTAGATCATTTTAGCCATGTTGGCGCCACTTACTGCCTCCACTCAATTTCATTTCTCTCCAGCAACTAAGTCAGGAATAAAAATACAATAGACTGCTCGCAATAAACCTGGAAGTGCAAGTTTGGGCATCAGCCAGTCAGCGAAGAGCCATATGTTCAGTGTTGTCAACGATTCCCAAGATAGAGGATTTAAAGCCGGAATAAAGAGAATGTTTGGTGAATTTTATCAAGGGGAAAGACATTATTGCCCTTCTTCTTATGAGATTTGGGAAAAACTTAATATACCAGTTAGCCCCGTTAGCAGCGCATTACATATGTGACGACCAAATAGCAGCGATTGGTTAAATTATTAAAAGTACCCGCTTACCGTCGAACAAATGAATTCTAATGCTGTGAGGTCAGGTGGTTTCTACGAAGTGAAACCGGCTCATGAATCAGGCTAAGATCATTTTACTTGTCAAGTGAAATTGACTCAAATCACGATGAAACTTTTAATTCCAGTCAATTTAGTTTTTAGTTTTTAGTCTAACATTTTAGTTTTTGCAGTGTAATCATCTGTATTTCCTTTATCTACTTCCTGGAACAGATTGTGCAGGAGCGTGAATGCCTCAGGTGTTACCTACAGGTCCCTCGACGATCTGTAATATTATTATTATGTCTTTTTCACGACTAATTTGTGCCATTGTTCCTGGGGGTGATCTATAAAAGGTGTAAACAAATCCAACTCACTTCACTGAATTCAAACTGCTGTTGGACCAAAAACATCTGGAAGCGAGCATCTGCTCAACAACAAATAAAACAGAATTCTTCGGTTAAATTGGTTAGAATAATTTAGATGCAGTACAATACTCTTCTTCACATATTTCATTCTATTATTATGTCCTATATTACACACAATTGATCTTTAAGCTGTTGTATAATGTTGTTAGCTCATCCAAAAACATACCTGGTGTTGAGTTTTGTTTCATTCACACATGTTTGAGTAATCCTGCATTATTAGTCTGTCTACATGTCCAAAGCTCAAAATGCTTTGCTCCAACTTGTGATGTCATGCAGTGGTAGT